TTTGTATTTCCATATCTTGTGTTTTGTATAGTCCATGTTTACATGTTTTTTCTTTAATCTCATTAATTGCCTAGGTTGCCTAGCCTAGCCATACTCCCTTACTCCATTGTACCCCTGTAAGCCCCTTTTGTGTTTGTTTTGTACAGTATTGTGTATATATTTTTCCCTATTTTATAGCTTATTTCTACTTATTTCTGATTCTACAATCAGCTTTTTTTATGCAGTCAAGTATAGACCCAGAACTTAACCTCTTATCCACTATCTATGACAATAATCACTTTAATGATCTAAATTGCAGATATTTTGCAGCACATGATGTAAACAATGTATTAACTCATAATCACAATATCTCTGTAATCAATTTGAACGTTAGATCCCTAGGTAAACACTTCGATGATGTTAGTGCCTTGATTGAAACTATTGGCAACAAATTCTCTTTTATTATACTTACTGAAACATGGTTGAAAGAGGATACTACTCAACTCTTTAACATGCCTAACTACTCAGCAATTCACAACTGTCGTCAACTTCAGAGAGGTGGTGGCACTGCTCTTTACTACCACCATGAACTAACATGCTTAAAAGAAATTAGAACCAGAGACTGCTATGGGGAGTATATCTTCGCCAGCTTCAGAGTCAAGGGTGCCGAGTCTGTCCTGTCTGTGGGTGCAGTCTATAGAATTCCCAACACTGATGTGTCTGTATTCAACTCAAACCTTAGAAATCTAATACTTGATAACAGACTGAACAAAAACCACCTAATTATCGCAGGGGACTTTAATATTGACCTCTGCGAGCCAGAACACCCTACTGCTGTTAGCTTCCTCAACTGTATGAATTCCTGCCTCCTCATACCCTTAATCACTAGACCTACTAGAATCACTGATAGCACTGCCACGACTCTAGATCACATCTGGACCAACATAACCTCTCCGCTTACTTCAGGTATAATCACCGATAGCACTACAGACCACTACCCCACATTTCTCTTAACTAACATTAGGAAACCACCTCTAGAAACAAGGGAGTTAAGCTTTAGGCTGCACAATGAAACTGCTATAAACAATTTTATAACTGCTGCTGATAATGTCAACTGGGAGTCCGAGTTAGGTAACATAGGGGACATCAACCTAGCAGTGCAATCTTTTCTACAAACAACTCTTAGCCTTTATAACACCCACTGTCCTAGGCTTACAAAACAAGTCACAAGCAAAAGGCTTAACAATCCTTGGCTTACAAAGGGAATACTGAAATCCATTAACAAAAAACACGACCTTGAGAAGAAGTATAGGTTAGGAATTGTCTCCAAAGAATTCTCAAAGAATTACTCATTATTGCTATCTAAGATAATTAGACGAGCCAAAACTAAATATTACGAAGATAAATTTACTCAAATAAAGAGCAACATTAAACAAACTTGGAGCACAATTTCACAAATATTGGGATCAAAGAAATCTTTAAATAACAAACCGACTCTCCTGTCTAATAACGATGGTCAGCTTTCAGCCTCTGATTCTGCTATTGAGTTCAATAGGTTCTTCTCTTCCATTGGTTCATCCCTTGCAAATGATATTCCATCTTCCAGTACTGACATTAAGGACTATCTTACAGGTAACTATCCACAGTCTCTGTACCTAAAGCCTATTAACTCCACTGACGTCAATGAGATAATCCTTTCCCTTAAAACCAAGTCTGGTGCCCTTGAGGAGATACCAACTTTAATTTACAAAAAAGCCTCCAGATCTTTAGCCCCTGCTATTGCTTTGCTCTTCAACAAGTCACTTGAACTCCAAACCTTTCCAGATATTCTAAAAAAAGCGAGAGTAACGCCTGTCCACAAATGTGGTGACCCCACAGATGTTAACAACTACAGACCTATATCAATCCTGCCAAACTTGTCAAAAATTTTTGAAAAACTTATATACAAGCAGCTTTACTTATATCAATCTAGCCAAACTCAATATACTTAGCCCTTGCCAATATGGCTTCAGACCCAAAAAAAGCACTAACGATGCACTTATTAGTATGCTTAACTCGATTCATACAGCTCTTGATAAAAAGGAGTTCCCTGTTGGGTTATTTGTGGACCTGCGTAAAGCTTTTGATACTGTCAACCACCATAACCTTCTTCTTAAATTACATCATTATGGAGTCAGAGGACACTCCCTACAATACCTCGAGTCCTACCTTACTGACAGGCTCCAATATGTTTCTGTGAATAATACAATTTCTCCCACCCTACCCATCAACATTGGTGTTCCTCAGGGCAGCATACTTGGCCCTCTCCTCTTTCTCATCTACATTAATGACCTTCCAAATGCCTCCCAACACCTCAAACCAATTCTATTTGCTGACGACACAACCTTCATTTACTCCAGTCCTGACCCTCTTGCTCTAAATGCCACAGTAAATACTGAGCTAAATAAAGTCCATCTTTGGCTAACTGCCAACAAACTCACCCTTAACATTGACAAAACCTTCTATATTCTGTTTGGCAATAAATCCTCTAGTCTTATAAATCTCAAAATAAACAATACCCAAATTTGTAACAAATTAGATGGCAAATTCCTTGGCATTCTCATTGACCACAAGCTGAATTTCCAGGGACACATTCTAAATATATCAAAAAAAGTTTCAAAAACTGTGGGCATTCTTTCTAAGATCAGATATTATGTACCACGCCCTGCCCTGGTGACTCTCTATTACTCCCTTATCTATCCTTATCTCAACTATGGTATTTGTGCTTGGGGTTCTACTACCCAAAATCACTTACGTCCTCTAATTACCCAACACAAAGCCGCTATTAGAACAATATCCAACTCTGGCCCCAGACATCACTCGGTACCCCTACTCAAATCTCTTAATATGTTAGATATTAAGTCACTGCACATTCTCTCATGTGTATTATACATATATAAAACGCTAAACTATAATGCCAATCCTGATCTTAAAAGCTTCATAGAAGGTTGTAACAGAACCCATGAGCACCACACCAGAAATAAATACAGTTTTGATATTCCTAGAGTACGTCTTAATCAAACTAGAAATGCTCTGCAAATCAAGGGGCCCAGAATGTGGAATGACCTTCCCAACCATGTTAAAGACTGTACCTCTCTCAACCAGTTTAAGATAAAAACTAAACACTACCTAATAAATTCCCTGTAATCTACCTCACTCCTCTATTGTCAACCCATGTCCGTTATTTTCTTTTTTTTTTTTTTTTTAATCAACACTGTTTGTCAACCTATTGTATTTGTGCTGCTTTTTCAGTCATGTTCCCCCTTTTTTTATCTTTATTTGTATTTGTTCTCAACACCTTTTATTCTTTATGCTCAATTAGTATTAAGTTCTAGATATTAATGTTTTTCTTGCCCGAAACGCATTGCGTAATAGTGGCTTTAGGCATTGTATGTACTAGCTCTATCTATATATCAATCCATTAATGTAACATCACTTGTATGTATATACCTTACCTGAATAAACATCTGAATCTGAATCTGGAAGGTGGTGAAGGGTAGGGAAGGTGGTGAAGGGTAGGGAAGGCGGTGAAGGGTAGGGAAGGCGGTGAAGGGTAGGGAAGGTGGTGAAGGGTAGGGAAGGTGGTGCAGGGTAGGGAAGGTGGTGAAGGGTAGGGAAGGTGGTGAAGGGTAGGGAAGGTGGTGAAGGGTAGGGAAGGCGGTGAAGGCCCATTTTTCACACCAGAGCAGCTGTGTCTTTCTGAAGATGAGGCCTGGATGCAATAGTCCAAGGGTGTGGACGCACCAGAGACTTGTACAGTTAGACGACTACTTTCTTTTCCTTGAAGGTAAAGGTTCGCTTGATTATTCCCAGGGTTTGGTTCGCCTTTTTTTACTGCCGCTTCCACTTGTTGTGTGTAGTGTATGATGGATTCTAACTCCAATGTCCTTTTCTTCATGTATCTGGTGTAAGGTAGTACTATCAATGGGCCTTTACCGCCTTCCCTACCCTTCACCACCTTCCCTACCCTTCACCACCTTCCCTACCCTTCACCACCTTCCCTACCCTTCACCACCTTCCCTACCCTTCACCACCTTCCCTACCCTTCACAACCTTCCCTACCCTTCACCACCTTCCCTACCCTTCACCACCTTCCCTACCCTGCACCACCTTCCCTGCCCTTCACCACCTTCCCTGCCCTTCACCACCTTCCCTACCCTTCACCACCTTCCCTACCCTTCACCACCTTCCCTACCCTTCACCACCTTCCCTACCCTTCACAACCTTCCCTACCCTTCACCACCTTCCCTACCCTTCACCACCTTCCCTACCCTTCACCACCTTCCCAACCCTTCACAACCTTCCCTACCCTTCACAACCTTCCCTACCCTTCACCACCTTCCCTACCCTTCACCACCTTCCCTACCCTTCACCACCTTCCCTACCCTGCACCACCTTCCCTACCCTTCACCACCTTCCCTACCCTTCACCACCTTCCCTGCCCTTCACCACCTTCCCTACCCTTCACCACCTTCCCAACCCTTCACCACCTTCCCTACCCTTCACCACCTTCCCTACCCTTCACCACCTTCCCTACCCTTCACCACCTTCCCTACCCTGCACCACCTTCCCTGCCCTTCACCCCTATTTAGCTTAGTTCAAGTTATTCATTATGCATCCTACATAATTCACCCAGAAAATTCCCAGAATATAATATAATTATAAGACTTTATTGTGTCTGGGGACAGGAAACCAGAGTGTATTCATACATGATAGGCCCTTTATCATGGTAAGCTTAGATGCAAGTATATAAAGGCGGCCTATGTCTTCTCTCTCTCTCTTTAAACATTTCCAGTTAGGCGAAGCAGCGTAAAACGTATCACATTAATTAATATTGTTTATCGCATACATTTATTATACTCAATTATACAATCTTCTTCCCCTCAAAATTATTAATTAAATAGTAAATATTTATATATATCATGTCTGCTTAGCCGCGGCTTGTCATTGGCCAAGCTCGGCTCAGAAACACGCCGATTGGTCCATCAGATTTGGCCGACCTTTTGATGTGTAGTCATTTGGATGGGCCGAGCCTGGAGGCCTCCATGCTGAACACTCCATGTTCAGCATGGAGTGAGGATACATATGTATATGTACACTAGTACGCATGAGCGCCACAGTCAACTGTTCTTTCTAGCTATTGTGCTCTCAAGAAGGAGATCTGTAAGTGTGACTTGGAACAGTGTGTTGTGACTTTTTTTTTTTTGAGATATATACAAGAGTTGTTACATTCTTGTAGAGCCACTAGTACGCGTAGCATTTCGGGCAGGTCCCTGGAATACGATCCCCGCCGCGAAGAATAGTTTTAACAACCAAGTACACATTTTACTGTTGAGTTAAACAGAGACTACAGTTAAGGAATTGCGCCCAGTAAATCCTCCCCGGCCAGGATACGAACCCATGACAAAGCGCTCGCGGAACGCCAGGCGAGTGTCTTACCACTGCACCACAGAGACTGGTGCAGCAGTGGAGACTTTATTTCTCAAAATAAACTTTCTCAAAACAACCAATACCCAAATTTGTAACAAATTAGATGGCAAATTCCTTGGCATTCTCATTGACCACAAGCTGAATTTCCAGGGACACATTCTAAATATATAAAAAAAAGTTTCAAAAACTGTTGGCATTCTTTCTAAGATCAGATATTATGTACCACGCCCTGCCCTGGTGACTCTCTATTACTCCCTCATCTATCCATATCTCAACTATGGTATTTGTGCTTGGGGTTCTACTACCCAAAATCATTTACGTCCTCTAATTACTCAACACAAAGCTGCTATTAGGACAATATCCAACTCTGGCCCTAGGCATCACTCGGTACCCCTACTCAAATCTCTGAAGATGTTAGATATTAAGTCGCTGCACATTCTCTCATTTGTATTATACATATATAAAACGCTGAACTGCAATGCCAATCCTGACCTCAAAAACTTCATAGAAGGTTGTAACAGAACCCATGAACACCACACCAGAAATAAATACAGTTTTGATATTCCTAGAGTACGACTTAATCAAACTAGAAATGCTCTACAAATCAAGGGACCCAGATTGTGGAATGACCTTCCCAACCATGTTAAAGACTGTACCTCTCTCAACCAGTTTAAGATAAAAACGAAGCTATACCTAATAAATTCCCTGTAACCTACCTTACCCCTCTATTGTCAACCAACGTTTGTCTTTTTAAAGAGCGCTGTTTGTCAACAGAATTGTATTTGTGCTGCTTTTTCAGCTATGTTTTCATTCCATGTTTTCATTTTATTCTTTATGCTCAATTAGTATTAAGCTTTAGTCATTTAAGTTTTTCATGCCCGAAACGCTTTGCGTAATAGTGGCTTTAGGCATTGTATGTACTAGCCCTATCTATAAATCCATCACTCTTTGTAAAATCTCTTGTATGTATGTACCTTACCTAAATAAACATTTGATTTGATTTGTTTTGTCTGGGGCAGGAAGCCTGGGTGTATATACTTTAGGGCTGTATCGAGGTTTACCCCCTCCTCCTCCTCCACCGACGATTTTGCTTCATGCAGGTCGGCGTTCAATTCCCCGACCATCCACAAGTGGTTGGGCACCATTCCTTCCCACCCATCCCATCCCAAATCCTTATCCTGGCCCCTTTCCCAGTACTACATAGTCGTAATGACTTGGCACTCTCTCCTGATGATTCCCTCCCTCCCTCCCTTCCCCCCCCCTCCCCCCCCCTAAAGGTCAGACTACTGACCCTCGCCAGGATGCAATCCAAAAACAGGTGCTTAACTTCCAGGTACTGTACCTGTTTACTTCTAGTTGAGCAGAGGCATTAGGCGAGAGGAAACATGCCTATCCATTTCTCTCCCATCTGGGAATCGAACCCGGGATCCTCGAGTGCAAATAGAAATTGAAGCCAACTTGGAATGGTAACTATGAATGAACAGGTAACAACTCGCCTAATATTTAAACATCAAAAAATATATCTCCAATATAAATAATAATAATTCATTTCTTAAGTAACCTTTTGACAAGCTGTCAGCCTCCTGTTCTCATCAAAGTCACTAAATAGTTGCTCCTTGCTTAAATTCATGTAAAATGCTGGTAAATAATTTCTCTATCACTACATATCCTATTAGTAATGTTATATTCAGAAAATCTATTTTGGAATATACTGTACTTACATTACCTCTATGCCAGGTAATGGGAGCCGGTCGGCTGAGCGGACAGCACACTGGATTTGTGATACTGTGGTCCCAGGTTTAATCCCGGGCGCCGGCGAGAAACAATAAGCAGAGTTTCTTTCACCCTATGCCCATGTTACCTAGCAGTAAAATAGGTACCTGGGTGTTAGTCAGCTGTCACGGGCTGCTTCCTGGGGGTGGAGGCCTGGTCGAGGACCGGGCCGCGGGGACACTAAAGCCCCGAAATCATCTCAAGATAACCTCAAGATATCTATCCATCCATCCATTGTATCCCTAGTTCACTAAGATTATATATTATTTCTTTAAGATATATATATATATATATATATATATATATATATATATATATATATATATATATATATATATATATATATATATATATATATTTATTATTACTATATACCTTGTAGCTTCAGAATAACATTTAGGGTAAGGTCATGTCAGACACACATGTTATGCTCTCTGGCTGTTTTGTTCACAAAAGCCAACTTTCTCTTATGAAGTATCCTATATCTGTAGGAAGAATGCGTCTGTGTGTTGGGTTGTGTCCGGCTCTCACTGAGGATGTATTGTCCAAGTTACACAAGGCTGGGATCAGGAACATCCTGTCCTTCATGCTGAAAGATCCAGAATTGCTGGCGATGGAGATATCCGTGAGTTACAAGGTAAGATACGCGAGGGTAAAGCGATGCTCGGTGACAAAGTTGATTTGTATTCTTCCTGTCAATGGTTGGGACTCATTGAGGTTGCACTAACTGCAATTTCTAAGGCATACAGTAATTGAGAAATTGGCTGAACAAGAAGCCATTATACTGTGTGTAACCTATGAGTAGTGGCTTGAATATACAGTAATAAGAGTAATCTGACCAACAGCCATATTTTTTTTTTTTTTTGTCATGTATCAAAATATTGCAGTGTTCATGGGCCTGCATCCCAATACTATGCTGAAACCTCATGTTTCTATATCTAGGCAATTTAATATTCAAATTATTTGCAAGTTACTCTTTTAAGTTCTGCACTCTATCCAGGACAAGTTAGTTTCCAACATTACATGGAACAGCACTGTATCACAATTATCATGTAGAATGTGTATCCTAATGTAGGATAGAAATGTATTATGCCTTATTTTTAATCTTGTGTTTTAAATACTGTAATTGATTTACTGTAGTATGTGGTATCCAGGACAGAAGCCTGGGGCACTTTGCTAGCAATGGTTTCCTAGTAGGTCTCTGTCTATCTTGAGGTTATCTTGAGATGACTTCAGGGCTTAGCGTCCCCGTGGCCTAGTCCTTGATCAAGCCTCATTTTTTGTTATCTATGCTAACTCTTCAATAATTTTTTGAAAAAACCAAGCCCAAATCCATCTTGGTACTGTGTGAACCCCCTTTTCCCCAATTCAATGTTCCTTTAACTTTCTAATGAATGTATTGTGAGTCACAACATCTAGTAAAGTCAAGATTTAGAAAGTCACAGTCCTGTCCACTACTGTATATTGAAAAGAATATCAAATTTGTTAAATACAAGCAACTATTAATAAAACTATGCTGTGAAATCCATATTATTGTGTGTTGCTGTAAACGAATGGCTTTTGCAATTATTGATTCTTGCACTTTTTCTAAAATATACTGTATGTCAAGTTAATGTGGTGCAAGTGTTCTATCTCCTTTGTTAAAAATTGGCATCACATTTGGAATTCCTGATTCTGGTACTCTGCTTAACTTTAGTAGTAGTAGGCATCCATCAGTCTCGGGAGACTATGGAGTTGCACTCTGGTTGTTGGTCTGGAATGGCCTCTCCAGGGTGCAAAACCAAGGTAGGGTTGATATGGGGGAGAAGCTGACTTGGAGCTGGAGCCCCTAGGGCTTGACATTAATGATCTATTAAATATGCAAAACAAATGCATGCTTTAAAGGACCCTTTGTTTGGCCCTAGGTACTTCTTGGGCTTCAATTTTTTCTATTTGTTTAATAACTACCTCTGATAACCAATTAACTAGGCAGTTTGTCCTATTTACCACCTTCATAGATTTATTCAGTTGCAAGCATAAATGAAGTTCTCTAGGTAAATGCAGAGGCAACATACATAACGTTATGTAGATGACATAGTAAAAGACTCGGATGAACTAATTGATCTAAAAAGCCATATAGAGAGAGAGTCAGTACTCCAATTTACACATGAAAATAGTGAAAATAGCAGTGCCATTCCTGAATGTACTAATAACAAAAACAGGAACCTCTTTAAGCACCAGCGTATATACTAAGCTTACCAACATAGGGTTATGCCTAAGTGGTAGGAGTGAGTGCCCTAAAGATACAAAGCCAGTATTCTCAGTGCTTATATTCGTTGAGCGCTTACCCACTGCTTCGATGGATCAAGGTGAATAGGTAGTTTGAAAAAATAACTCGGGTGTTGGTGAACAATGGTTATAGCAACACAGAAATAAACACTACTATAAGAAGACACCTGGACCGATGGTACAATCCTGAACCTAGAACAGAAAACACAACACCTCCAATATAATTCTATTACAAATCAACTATGCATAGTGAGCATAAAAAGGAATAATGAAAGAAGTAATCCGTAAAGGAGTAAAAAGCATTACTCCTAATCAAAACATAGACCTAATCATGTTCTATAAAACAAAGACCACCACCGATCTCCTTCATAAAAACAGCCTGAAGCTGACGGAGAACCCTTTACAGCAGTCAAACGTAGTATACATGTACACCTGCCCCCCCCCCCCCCCCCCCCCCCCCCACGAAGGATGTAACCTTCAATCTAAGTACAGTACATGGGTATGACATCAACCATGCTGATGAGGCGTTTGACCTGTCATCTTCAATCCTGTGCCCCCAGAAATCATATGAGACAAGCCCCTAACATCACCCTAACAAGAGAAATGCTGAATAAAAACACTTGTATAATAGACAAAACCCAAGATGTAAGAAGATTATAAATTCTTGAAGCAATCTATATAAAAATAGAACAACCCGCCATAAATGCCCAAATTACGGAACTATTCACCCTACCCACTATGAGAGTAGGAACAAGACCAGAACGTGAAAATGCCAACATAGACGACACTGTTCAAAATGCCACGCCCACTACACCTGATTAATCTTTGTATGTGTTTCGTACCCTATTTTGCCTTATTCTGCTATTTTCTCCTTTATGCCTTATTCTTTATCCATTTGTATACCCTTATACAGTATAACCCATTGTTCGATCCATTTGTATACACCTGACCCCCTAATGGTATAATTACAGTATGCCTTATACTGTCACATCACTTGAGAATGAACCATGTAGGTTTGAAACATTGTGTAATTTTATAATAAGTGTAATACATTCTACAGTTATTTATTTCTTTTTCTTCACCTCGAACGCACATGATTTTTTTGGAGAACTCTTCTTCCAATTAAACCCAGATGTAAGAGCACTAGTCAAAAGGGATAGAAGCCCTAAACAAGAAAATAATCAATACAGAATATGCAGTCATATTCAACGAAGCATGTATAAATGAAAACCTGCTGCCAGTGTACACCAACATACATATGCAATATATATAATTATGTATAACGTTTCTATTGATAGTTGTGTAATACAGTAACTACAGTTATTTTCTTATTATTTGTTTGCTGTTTTTTGTTTCAAATATTAATATAACAAAGATTTTAATTTATTACAGGACTTGCAGAGCATTCGTCGTATAATTCATGCTCATTATGCTGCTTTTGCTGTTTCTGGTGATGACATGCTGAATGAAGCTGTTCAAAGAGCTGTTGTTATATCCACCGGCAACACAAAGTATGTATTTTATTGTATGAATTATGGAAATCGATTAGATTCCTATTCCTGCATCATTTCTGAGTCTAGGGCCCTTTGGATGTTCCCCCAAGCTAAAGCCATTATGGTGCACCAAGGACTCGTACAATATCTCCTGCTGGGCTCTGTGACTTTTTCCCCCACTGTGTCAAGAGTATAAGCAATGAGGAAACTTAGTCCTCTTGGCTCATTTGAGGCATCTCCTATTTATATATGAATGAGTGTGGGGTTGTATATATACTGTATATCTCAACATACACTCGGAACAATCGATCAATCCCACATGTGTTATGTTACCTGGTGGTTTGTTCCATAAATCAACAACACGGTTTCCAGCAATCAGTAATTTACCCAGGTCTTTCTTAGTTTTTAAACTATCCAGTTTATATTTATTGTTTAGAATTCTATTTGTAAATGGTCTTGTGAAGGAAAGAGAGGGATTGAGGTAGTGATGACTCAAACTCTAGCTCTTGGTGAAGAACCACAACATAAGGGGTCCACCGCTGTTCATTACCCTTCCAGCAAGCATTAGAAATATTACTGGAACAAAGGCGGATATCTTCAAGATACACTTAGACAAGTACTTGCAAGAAGTGCTGGACCAACCAATTTGTTGTGGAAATGTGGGCTTGCTGGCCACTCTAAGCAACAGCCTATTGGATCAAGTTGTAGCAAGTCAACCTAGACTGGGCTCTGGGAGTAGGAAAAACTCCTGAAACCCTCTCCAGATAACCAGTTTGCTGTTATGTAAAATAAACAGCAATATTCCCGACTCTCCCTTCCAGCAATAATTGATAACACAAGGAATGCTATATACTGCTCTGCTAACTACTGGTTAAGTAACTAAACAACCCATCATCACAACAGTACCTACAGATTTTGTCTTGGGTCTGTACCTGGGCACTGAATTTTCCTTCAAGACGCATGCAAGGTGGATTTGTCCCACTCTCGTGTGCCTGCCAATCAGTACTTACTTATTTGTGACTATGGTGGAGTAAGATCGAGCTCTTTATGCCCTGCCTCCTACCTGTTTGTACCTGGTGTTCTAATTCTCTTCCTCAGCAATAATAGTTTTCATCATATTTTTTCTTAAAATTGTGAATGAAATTGGTTATAACATCCTCTACCCTCAATGTGTTCCACACGCCCCGAGAACTTCGTTATATGATGACCAAACCACACGCCAGAAGACAAAAGAAACGACGACATTTTAGTCTGTCCTGGACTGTTATCAGGTCGATTTGTCACATCTCTGACTCGATTGCGTGTCCAGCTTCCTTCACTGTCCTCTTGTCCTACCTCCTTCTAAGGTAGTCTTCCTTTGTCCACACCTCTCGGAATCATGTACATACTGTACTGTAGTGCTTTTATCCCCTCTTTCTCGTCTCCTTTAAGATTGTAATGGTGAGAGTTCCCTCAGCCTGTCCCTCATAGCCAAGTCCTCTCAATTCTGATATTTATCTAGTTGCAAACCTCTGTACTTGCTAAAGTTTTTATTTGTTGTGCTTCACAAGGTGTGGGTTCTATGATGGTGCTGGTCTCGCAAAGGCTGTGTGTATTTTGTATCAGCTAAACCATTTCACGCCTTGTGTAAGGATATAATTAATTTTTTTTTGTTTTTCTCCCCCCTAAGCTGCCTACATATTTCCTTATCTTTGTTGTAGGGTCCCTTGTAGACTGTGGCTATAAATGGAGTGTGAGGAGACTGTCTTGAGCGTTGCTACGAGTTTTAGAGTTTTTGGACTTGAGTATGGCAGATGTTACTCGTGATATTGTTCAACATGCTCAAAATGCTGAATTTGATGAAATCTTTGAAGATGACATGACTGAATTGCCTCACTGCCTTGCAGACTTCTTTATTAAACAGAAACATTTTGAATCTCCTTGAACAGCAACAATAGGAAGCCAAGGATGAATGATGTGAAAATAGAGAAAAAATAGCAAGGTTTCTTGATGCTGCTGAAGGAATGGTGATGGAGGAGCAGTATAAATGTTTAATTGAAGTAATGAATTTAAGGAAGCACGAAACATTTAGTCATGTATCTAAAGGGAGCTTTTCAAGGAGAGAAAAAAAAAATAGACGGCTGTCTATACGAAAAGGCAGACAATTATGCCTCCTTATGTAACTTTTCCATGGAATGCATGCCCTCATTTACCATCGTCTTGTGGACATAGAAGTTTGGTGTAAATCCTTGATTTATACCCCTATTTTCTGGAATGCATCCCTGACATAAATAAAAGGAATCGAGTATAGCATGTGATAAATATCAGCAAGCTATTTGATTTATTATTTTCATTGTCTTTTGAATGCTGTGTTTTCTTAGATGTTGAATATGTGAATTGTGTAATAGAATGATCCATTTACAGGTGGAATTATTTTATTTGATCATTATTTTGTTCAAATGATAATTTTTGTTTAATCACTCATTTTTAATTAATAAGTTGTTTTAGCAGCTGCTTGGAACAAAATGTTCCAAGTAGCACAGGCTATGGTGAGCCCGTAGTGGACTTACCTGGCACAGGAGCGGGTCCAAGTAGCATGGGCTATGGTGAGCCCTAATAGTGGGCTCACCTAGCACTGGAGAGGGGCTGTAACTGAATTAATCATAGTTCTCTATTCTTTGCAGTCTGGACACCCTATTAGGTGGAGGCCTGATGACTGGCGAGGTGATGGAGGTGTGTGGAGGCTGGGGTGCCGGCAAAACCTCCCTGTGCGTGAGCCTCGCCGTTCATGCAGCTCTCAGGTTGAAGATGAATGTGCTTTATATTGATCCTTTGGGCAGCATTAATTCTTTAAGGCTCGCCCCTGTGATAGAAGCGTTCTCTGAGAAACTGGAGGCGAGTATGCTGAAATGTTTGGTCAGGCATTGGCCGACAAAATTTTTATTTGTCGGTTGCCTGTGAAGCTTTTTAGTGGTTAAAATGTGGATTTTTTTTATATGCTCTCTTTAACAGCCATTGTGAAGAAATTCTTGCTAAATTATAAATAAATTAAATTATCGTTACTGTATTAATATACAAAAGTAATACAAATTTGTATTACTTTTTTTATATGTAGGTAGGTCACTTTTTTATTCACCAAAAATCAATTGTATAATATATTTATGTACACGAAAATTATGTTTTACCCATTCACTTGTACTGGTCGGTAGAGTGACAGCCTTGCTTCTTACAGGGATGGCTTTTGAGTCCCATTGGTCCAAGTGGCTGGGAACTGCTCCTTTACTCCATCCTCTCATAACAGCTCCTATCCTGTTTTCTCAACATTGCTGTTCCTTTGTTATTGTTGCCATCTCTAAGCGCCCTCATGGCTATATAGTTTTTTTTAACCCCTTTGCATCCTGAGGTAAACAAAATCCAGTACTGGCCATTTCTTATTTTTGGCAGGTTTAAGACGGTCAAATTTTGTTGGGTTCGCAGCCATATTGGGATCCCCCTCGAATGAACTCACTGACTTCACCGCTAAGGAAGCCATTTATACTTGAAACATTTCCCAGAAAGAAGTTCCCTATTTAGATTTGGACCTGATCACTCATGCTGCTCTCTGCAAGCATTAGCAGAGTCGTTTGGCTGGCATTGTAAATAATAAACTGTATGCTCTTAATTATGACCTTTTCCCATGGCCGTCCTCCTGCCACTGTATTAGGCATTGGGAGACTGCTCTGGCTAGGCTGTGTATCGGTCACACCCACCCGACTTGCGATTACTTAATGGAACAGTGTCCTGCTCCCTTTGGTTTTAACTGTATTGTCCCACATACAGTCTTGCACCTCCTTGTCGATTGGCTGAATTTTGACATTTTATGAGTATCTTGCTTTCGTGATGTCTTTAGAGGCCAGTTGTCACTCGTTAGCATCCTCGGTGATTCTGTTACCCTTGATATCGTTCGCCTTATGTCCTTCTGTTCTCACATTAGCATCTTTAAGGATATTTAGCGCCTATTGAATACCTTACAACTTAGATGGTGCCACGTAATCTTTGTTGTTTGGCGCTTTCTACGATAGATAGTTACTGTACTTGTACGTACCAAATTGTTAATATGTACCTAAATCAAATTATTTGTAAATATTTATGACATAACATTTTTTACATTACCTGCCTCCCTAATTTTAATCTTACTTTTTTATCCTTAAATGTGCGGTTAACCTTATTTACATATTCAATCAAGTGCAATATACTTATAACTTTGTCCTGATGTCTAATTTTTTTTTAACAAGTATCTCTAACTGAAATGTGTTGATTTGCATTCTAGATAGTGGAACACGCTCTTGCCTGTATAAAGACAGTGGCACCTGCTGACATATGGGGTGTATTTCAAGCATTGGAATTAGCCCGGCAGCCATACCTGGCAGTGAGGAAAAAGGATGCAGACTGTGGTGGCGGCGACGAGACTAGCTCGATAGTAACCACAGTGGGGAAAATACAGTTAGTCATAGTGGACTCCTTGCCATCCGTTCTTACACCTTTCCTGGGAGGACAACAGAAACAGGGTATGGTATTTTGTTCAGTGCAATAAAATCTCAGTTTGAACCCGTCTGCAAAGTGCAAATTTGTACATACAATACTGTACATGTTTTTTTTTTTTGACCACATTTGTAATGCATAAGGGTATAGGGGTTTACACACAAACACAAGTTAGCATTGTTTCACATGATTTGTCTGTAAAATGGCTGTCTATGAATGTACATTATAAAGAAACATGTATAAAATGCTGTCAAAGAACACGAGCTTATACAGGAAGCTTTTGGAGAATGCCGAGTCCATAATTACACAAGTACACAAATAATTGCATTAGCATCAAGTTGGATGTTAAACGAGTCGAGAGTGAACACAAGCCCGTACTAACAGTTTTTAAGGACCCCATACCAATACTAGCTGTTTCGAACTAGTCCTTGCAGCCCAGTCCTCGACCAGGTCTCCTGATTGCTACACTGGTCAACCAGGAAGTGGGACACGGCTGCTCGAGTAGCCTTATGTATGAATCACAGCCTGGTTGAGCAGGTATCCTTTGGAGGTGTTTATCAAGTTCTCTCTTGAACACTGTGAGGGGTCGGCCAGTTATGCCCCTTATGTGTAGTGGAAGCGTGTTAAACAATCTCGGGCCTCTGATGTTGATAGTTCTCCGAGTACCTATTGCACCTCTGCTTTTCAATGGAGGTATTCTGCATATCCTGCCATGCCTTCTGGTCTCATGTGGTGTTATTTCTGTGTGCAGGTTTGGGACCAGCCCTTCTAATATTTACCACGTGTAAATTATTATGTATCTTTCCTGCCTGCACTCAAGAAAATACCGATTTAAGCATTTTAGTCAGTCCCAATAGTTTAGGTGTTTTACCGAGTGGATTCTAGCAGTAAAGGATCTCTACATGCTCTCCAGGTCAGCAATTTCTCCAGCTTTGAAAGGGGAAAGGGGCACAAATTTATGCCCCAAAATACAGAAACAAAGAAATATAGAATACCACTGTATGCAGTGTGAAATGAAACAGGTATGACTAGCTACTGCACGACCTCTTGGTGTTATGCACGATGCAGTGTAAATTAGGAAAGGTAATTCCTTGCTTTAACACCGTATTAGTGTAAGAGTATCCACCTTACTGATGGTGAATACTCAATTTTCTGTTGAACAGTATAAAAAGAGTAACAGTCAACCATATAAAATAGTCCAAGCACAGTTGAAAGCTCTGGGCCTCAAGGTACAGTCCTTGCACCACTGCTTTTCCTTATACTTATATTAGATATAGACAAATATACAAGTCACAGCTTTGTGTCATCCTTTGCAGATGACACAAAAATCAGTATGAAAATTACCTCTGCTGAAGACATTGAAAAACTACAAGCAGATATTAAAATTGTTTTTGACTGGGCTACAGAAAATAACATGATGTTTAACAGTGATAAATTACAGGTACTCAGGTATGGTAAAAATGAGGACCTGAAACATAATTCAGGGTACAAAACACAATCATATCTGCCCATAGTAGGAAACAGCATGTAAAGGATTTGGGAAAAATTAAGTCTGATGACCTAACGTTTAGGGAGCATAACCGTGCAAGTATTGCCTCAGCCAGAAAAATGATAGCATGAATTATGAGAACTTTCATATCGAGGGATCCCATCGCAATGGTACTTTTCAAATCACTTGTGCTGTTCCATCTTGAATACTGTTCAGTACTCAGTTTTCCCTTCAGAGCATTTTCTTATCTTGAGATGATTTCGGGGCTTAGCATCCCCGTGGCCCGGTCCTCGGCCAGGCCTCCTTTGTGTTACACACCTCTAGGAAGCAGCCCATAGCAGTTATCTAACTCCCAGGTACCTATTTACTGCTAGGTAACAGGGGCATCAGGGTGAAAGAAACATTTTGCCCATTTGTCTCCACCTCCACCGGGGATCGAACCTGGAACCTCAGGACTACGAATCCGAAGTGCTGTCCACTCAGCTATCAGGAAAGATTGTTGAAATAGAGGGAGAACAGTGAACATATAAGGCATACATAGAGCACCTAAATAATTGGTAATAATTTAGGATAAAGCACCTAAATTATTGGGATCGTCTCAAAGCTATTCAAATGTACTCATTAGAAATGAGATGAGAGATATCAAATAATATATAGTCATGCCATCAAGATTGTGAGACAGAGACTGAGTCAAGACTCAAATGAGACAAGAGAGATATCAAATAATATACAGGTGGAAAATACTGGAGGGCCAGGTCCCATATCTACACGGTAAAATAACAACATACTGGAGTGAAAGATATGGACGAAAATGCAGAATAGAACCAGTGAAGAGCAGGGATGCCATAGGCACAATCAGAGAGCACTGTATAAACATCAGAGGTCCACAGTTGTTTATCATCCTCCCAGCAAGTATAAGAAATATTGCCAGAATAACTGTTGACATCTTCAAGAAAAAACTAGATAGTTTTCTTCAAGAAGTGCTGGATCAACACTTCTGTGTTGGATATGTGGGGCTGTGGGCCGCTCCAAGCAACAGCCTGTTGGACCAAGGTCTCACAAGTCAAGCCTTGCCTTGGGCTGGGCTTGGGGAGTAGAACTCCCAGAATCCTATCAAGCAGTTAATAAATGTTTTATATCTTGTAAGAATACCTGATGCTCAAAAAACTGCTTATGATTAATGCCGTTATAAAAGACAAATTAATTCTCAGGAAGCCTGTACTTAATTTAGCATCAAGGATTTCTCAGGTTGGCCTTCCTCAGGATACAACTCAAAACAGTTACCTATCTCCTGAGTACCTATTTACTGCTTTGTGAACAGCTGCATTAGATGAAAAGATTTGTGACCAACCATTTCTGCCCCACCCAGGGATTGAACTGGGATCTTCAATTGTAAGTCTAGAACATAAACTACTTAATCATGTACAAACAGTACTAAAAGTAGACAAAACCTCAATATTTTAAGTAACAACTGCTTCGACTGGCAGGCAAAAAGCCGGGGAAGGGTAGTTAAAGGTTAAGATCCTTGGTGAACTAAGGCTTGTCTACCTGTGCATGCGAAGATTGGACCTGGCGGACTGCGTGGAGAAAAAACACCAGAATGGTCAATAAGCAGAAAGGCAGACCCAGGAAGGCATTGTGGAGTGCAACGAGGGTACAGTGAGACACGTAGGACACTGCTGGCCATCCACTACATCCTAACCTATCTCCTGCCATCTCAACATGTCTTACTGCTGGATCCAGATAGGTTGGGACGAGAGAGTGAGGCTGATAATTTGTGCAACTCTCCCTCACTTTAATCCATGTCAAGCGCAAGTCATGCCTTCAAACCACGTCGTGCAGCCTCGAGTCCTGGGGCGACAGGCGAGTGGCAAAACAACAGGTGCAGATACACTGGAAGCTGTAGTCACAGACCTGCACACAGGCAGCTCAGGACATAGGGTCTCTCTCTACTGGACCATAGCAGCAACAGAATTCGGAAGCCCCCTGGGTGTTTGAGCAGCCCCTCTTCAGGACACGTTCTACTTGCCTCCATGGAGGAAGGGGCTAGGAAAGATGTCTTGAACAGTGCCTGCTTCAACTAACCCTGGCCAGCAAGCTGTGGCTGGCCAGGATCCCCCACGGCGGTAGAAGGGAAGGGAATTATCGGGAGAAATAATTCCCGTAATAATGTTACTAAGAGAAATAATCATTATCTAGGCTTTTATTATTAAGTGAATAATTATATCATAGAAGAGGTAAGTGTTGGTCGTGTTATTTGTCATGTATTTAGAAATGATTGTGTCTTTGCTGAATATTCTCTCTGCTTGTTGAATGATATCTTGTTTTGACATGAATAAATTATTTACTCTATATTCATCATTACAATAAAAATAAGTTTGGGGAGATCTTATAAAAACATTCACACCAAAGTTGAGTTGTGGCAGGGATTTGCCAGCCATGAATGTAGACTGTTCAGCTACTGACTCGGTGATCTACAGCCACACTGGTTGCGGAAAGATTGTTTTTGTTTGGACATAAATAAGCTCCACTTCAACATTATTATTATTGTTGAAGCGATGGCCTTATCTGTAGTTCCCCAAGCCAAATGCTAATCCAGGCTTGAAAAATCCTTATTATTTACCATGTTTATTTTTTCATTTACACAACTTGAATTTATCATTTGTTTAAAATGCTCTTATCACCGAGTTGATATAATTACTACTTACACAGGTTGGGGTATAATAAATCAGTTGGCCGCAGCTTTGAAGAGCCTTGCCTCTGAACAGCAGTTAGCAATAGTGGTTGTCAACAGTGTTGTGCATACAAACTATAACAACAATGTGAAGAACCAAGGGTATAATTTGCAGACTAACTGGAAACCAGCTCTTGGAAGGTAGGTAAAATATCAGTTGTTATCCACACTTCTGTGGAAATAAACGTTCCATTTACTTGGGCTCTAGGAGACTTGAACTACGGACCCAACATGTGTAGGCGATAGAGCTTTGGCCTCACACGCATGAGGTCCATGGCTTGGGTCTCCTAGAGCCCAGGGGGCCAGATTCATGAAGCAGTTACGCAAGTAATTTACAAAAGTGTACATCTTTCTTCAATCCTTGACGGCTTTGGTTACATTAAACAGTTTACAAGCATGAAAACTTGTCAATCAACTGTTGTTATTGTTATAAACAGCCTCCTGGTGCTTCGGAGCTCATTAACTGTTTAATAATTGTAAACAAAGCCGCCAAAGAGTGAGAAAAGATGTGTAGGTTCGTAAGTGCTTACATAACTACTGCATGAATCTGGCCCTAGGCGAATGGAATGTCGGTAAAATATCTTTATACTGTATTTCTAATATCATTGGGTATCCTGTTGGGTTTTTTTCTGAGCGAGACTTACTGATAGCTCCTTTAGTCTTACACACAATGCTTGTCAGGACAGCTATTATCTATCAGGTTCTGAGTGACTTGCTCTTATACAAGCATTTTTGTAAATGGTCTTGTTCTATTTAACAGGGCAAAGAGGTCACTGAAGAGCATACCTCATTTCATCCTGAGGTAGCCGCTCGCTAAGCCACTCACAATCTCTTATGGTGACTCGAAACTCTGTAGGGAAATTTTAATGTCTAAGCACAGAGAGTGGGGCTGCCGGTGTTCCCCATTTTCTTTGGCGAGCATTCCCATGCCTGGGAGCACCTGTCTAATTTATTACCAGCAGGCCCTGGCATTCCCCCAGTGGGTCTTTGACGAGATCAGTTATGCATAAAGAATGGCCTGTTGAGCCTTGCTCTCGCCCATTGCAAATTTAAAGGCTGTTAGTCACCTTTGCTATGTGGCAATGATCATTTTTTCTGCCTCTGCTGTCTGTTGGGTTGATGACTTGTGGTTTGTGGGGTTTGTTTCCCATGGTTTCTGATCCTCTCTGATCCTGCCTCTGAAGCAGAGGCATTTCAAGTAGCTCTCACATTACGGGATAGGTTTGCCTGGTTTCAGTGTTCACAGCTTTGTGCTCAGTTGGAAACACTGGGATTGCCCCGTGTGATGTTTAAGGACCTAGATTTGGAGGTGTTGATGTCGAATCACCACTGGCTCCAGCTGCACCTCCTCTTCCTTTCCAGTTAAGAATACTTCGCCCTGCTTCCGGCTCAAAAATGTCTGAGGGTTTTGGAGTCGGGGCAGGGTTTAGCTATGGGTATAGCTTGGCAAATTCCAGGGACTGAACTTTTCTTCTCGAATGCAGAGGTAGTTAAGCCACCTAGTCCAGCAAATGTTATGGAGTTTTCTCCTGTGAACTCCTTTTCTCCCAGGTGTTGGATGGTGAATTTAGCTCTGCCCTCGGAGTTTTCATGGCAGGCTTCCAGGGCTGAGGGGAAGCCCCATTTGGTCCCTTGGATCCTCATGGATTTTTCTTAGTATTTTGTTAATTCAGAGAAGGCACAGAAGAGGATTTCTCTCCTGTTTGGCATGAGTTCGATTTGATGGCAGCTTCTCAAAGGTTATGTTTTTGTTTCACTTTGCCAAAGATGCTTGCACCCATTCTTCAGGAGGCGGTTGCAGCATTTTATGCAGCCTGAGCTGCACAAACTCACAAGGCTTCTCCTGCTTGTAGGCGCTGATCTTTTGTGTTGCAAAAGGATGGCACTTCTTATGCTCTTTCACAGTTCACCACTTTGACAAAGTTCTTGGGGTGGGGGGAGGGGTCATCTCGCTCGCTTTGCCAGGTCCTGGTCACACAATTTGTGGGCGTTTCAGGTAGTTTCCCTCGGCTTGCGGTGAAGTTAGTCAGCTCCGCCCCCATTTTTGAGGTTGCTGCTTGCTGGTCAGCTTTTTTCCCCACTGCTGCATCAAGTCGTCGTGACATGGTTGGACATGGGCATGGTCAAGCTGACCTCGTCCCTTTGTTATGTGTCCCGTTTGTTCCCGGTTCCCAAGAGGGACTCGGTGGATTTGCGGTTCATCCTCGATCTTTTGGGTCTGAACAGCTTCTTTCCCTGTTCAATATTTTGCAAGACCACTTTTGCCCTAGTTCACGTGGTTCTTCAACCTGGGGCCTGGATGGTGTCCCTGGATCTCAAGCATGCGTACTTACATGTTCTATCCAACCAGGATTCAGGAATTTAAGTTTTGCAGTGGGGCATCATACTTACTGCTTTTAGGTTCTACCCTTAGCTTGAATCTGGCTACCTGTATTTTCACCAGGTTAGTGCATGTTGTGGCTTGGCCAAGTCTCTTAGGGGCTCAAGTTTTGACCTACCCCAACAACTGGCTGGTTTGGGCTTACAGCTCCATCTCCATCTGGTACTGGATAGGCCCTGGGTGACTCAGAGGTTAGTCGAGCGGGTGTGCAGGGGCCTGAATTTTACCTGCATGGTGTTTCCAATGGGCAGAATTTGACTCGGAGCTCTGTACTGGTTCCTCCGGTTTCATCCGTTTTGCCGCTGCTTTGGCGATCAGGTTCGGTCCCTGGCTGCCTTTTGCTTGCTTTTTTGGGATTCAATTCCATGGCACTTTCCAGCTCTTTCGCTCAATGCCTTTACAGATGTGTCGGCACTGGGTTGGGATTAGGTGACCAGTGCTCACCAGGCTTCCCAAGGTCAGTGGTCGGGTCCATTGTTCAGGCCCACAGTACGGTGCGCAAGTTCACAGCTGGTGGCAAGCATTACAGAAGATTCGGCTCCCTCTGGGTTACATGATCTTGGTTCATTCTGGCTGCTCTCTTGTGGTTCACTGCCTGAATAGTGGGTCTCTTTAGTCCTATCCCCCATGTGGTGCTGGATCCTGCGAGTGGCTTGTCTTCTGGATTCTCTGGGTTTAGCTCTGTGCATTCCATGTGCAGAGCGTTTCCAATGTCCTTGTGGATGATTCGTCTCTGTTCTGCTCCATCTTAATAGAATGGATCGTCGACGACATGTCCTTTCAGTGGCTTTGCGAGACATTTGGTCACCCCGATGTGGATCTCTTCTCGTTGGCGTGAAACTGGCACCTTCCATTCTACATGGCAACATTCCTCGATAATGAGGCTTTTGTATTAATGCTTTTTGGCTGGGCTGGTTGAGCTGGGAGTGTATTTACCTATTTTCTCCGGTTCTGTTGTTGCTCAGAGTTCTTTTTAGACTGGAGTCCTTGTCAGGAACGGGGATCCTTTGTCAGGGAAAGGTGATCCTTCTGGCTCCTTGGTGGCCAGCTCAGCCATGGTTTCTGACTCTTCTAACCATGTGTCCGAACTCGGGCATTTTTCCTGGCTCTGCCTCTTTCAGAGAATCGGTCCAGTGACGTTCCTTGCTGGTTGGCCATCTACACATCTTTTCGCATCTGGACTTTCTGATGCAGGTTTATTGCCATTTGTATGGCCTGCAGGTGGCAGTATGAAGTAGCCTTGTGCTTGTTTCACCTTTTTCCTGTCCCTCAGCCGTCTTCAATTTTGGTTAATGTGGTATTATCTTTCGTGGTTATTTCTTCATTGCTTTCTTGTGCCCAATGCTGTCACCTTTTTATCATGCAGCGCTGTTGGCTTTTAATGTTGATTCTTCTGCAGCTCTGTTCTGCAAATTGTCTCGAGCATCTCGGGGAGGGTTCTGCTCACTTTGGTCCTGGTGGGCATTTTCTTTGTTTATAATGGTCTTCTTTTCTGGTGAACGAGTCGGTGAGCTTCTGAAGGAGTCCTTTGGTTATTAATGCTTGGTTGATTCGGCCAGGGGTGCATCATTTGTTTGGTGGTATTGATTTGTCACTACCAGAGTGCCTCTACATCACCTTTGGTGGATTCTCCTTGGGTTGATCCAGCTTCCTTGGTCCCCCTGTTCTGAGGCTCATGTTTCTCAGGCTGTCTGCAGTGTCATAAAGGTTAGCCTGCCTGCAGTCTATCTATGGGTCCATGATGCTCATAAATGTGCTGCTCTTGCAATGATCAAATTTGTCTTGGGCAGATATTTGAGCTCAGAGCGGTTGTGGTGGACTAACAGGGTCATGGCAGTCAGCTATTTAGTCAAAGAGTCCCTGGTCCTCTTTGGTTTCTATTTTGCTCTGGGTCATGTTCCCTGGCCGCTGGTCTCTACTTCGACTTCGTGCCTGCTGTAATGACCAAATCTCACACATCATAAAATGGAGAAACGAAGACATTTTGGTCCATCCTGGACCATTATAGAGTCATGTGATCAACACACAACTTGATAATGGTCCAGGACGGACCAAAACTTTGTAGTTTCTTCATTTTATGATGTGTGATTTGTCATCATATTTTCAGTCACGTTATTGACTGTGACTCATCGTCTGTATTAGCACCTGCTGCCCCTCCTGCTCTGATAAGTCTCTCTAGTTTTCTCTGGTTATTTAGCTATAGGGAGCCTCCAAGGGGCTTCCCTAGAAACCCAATGTTGAATGTAGTGAAACGCCTTTCTCTGATTGAGCTCTGGTGGCTCTCTGTCTCCATTCTTCCCTTCAACTTTTATCGGTTCATGGCAGTGTTTATCAGCTCCTGTGCTGATCTGTTAGGTGATACTGTACCGAGTTCCGGCCCATCTGGTGGCGGCATTTGGTACTTTCGGGATATAACTAGTTTTATGCTTTTTCTTTATTTTGTTTTGTTTGGAGAGTTTTTCATTTTAGTGGATTTGAATCTTGGGAACCCAGCTGTTGTCTGCAAAGCCTTGCTGACTTTCAGGAGGCTTTTCCTGTGAAATGGCTGAACGTCATTTGCTCCCTGTGCCTCATGTGAAGGGTCTATGTGTCGGAACTGGTCCCTGGTGGGCTAAATGAACTCGTTCAACATTGACTAGTAGACTGGAGCAATCTCGGTGAGATAGCTACACTGAGCCACAAGGGCTCTACAGAGGTTACACTATGAGAGAGCATTTTATTACATGCAATTATTATTATTATTATTATTATTATTATTTTTATTATTATTATTATTATTTTAAATGTGACCTATTCCCATGGCTTTCTAGCAATGACTAACAGAATGTGGGCAACAACTCTGGTTAAGTTACATATTGGCCAAATTCCATCCACAACTTTACTGTTTTCATCATACTTCTTTTTAATGTTGAGAGAGATAATTAGTATACCAGTATAAAATGGCTAGGAGGTAGGGCAGAAAGAGCTAGATCTCATTCCCTCCATAGTCAGCTTAGGTAAGCACATGGGACCAGACTCTCACAAGTCAAGCCAGGCCACAGGTTGGGCTTGGGGAGTAGAAGAGCTCCCAGAACCCCATGAAGTAGACTTACTCATGGGTTGTTAAAGGAACAAATGCCTGTTCCTTATTCTCAGAACTGCATTGTCCCACTTAGCCATACACCTCACAGAATATACTGATTTTGTGTGATCTTGACCCCTTGATAAAATCCATGATGAATCTGATAGCTTTGGGATCGGTCTTTTTTTATGCCTTTCTCTAGTATTGTATCCTGAAAGATATCTATGGATTTTGTACTTTTGTGCCATAGATGGTGCTAGGTAACTTTCCAGGCTTTTGGCCATCTTGGGATAGCTACATATCCATTCCGTATGTTTCAATTTCTCTCTCATTGCATCATTTGTCTGTTAACCGTGCCAGAGTATAGAACTCTTCAGCATGTTTCTTAAATGAACAAAATTTTCTCGTTTTTCAGATTCTGGGATCATGTACCCCATGTTCGCCTGTTTGTTGAGACTGAAACCCGCTCTTCCGCTCCACAGAATTTGGAGAACTGTTCTTTGTCTCCGTCCGAAATGAATGTGTCTATTTTAAAAAGCACTAGATTAAAAATTCGTAAGACTAAAATTTCAATATTTCCTGCATTGTAATTTTGTAAAAAAAAGGCAAACTTTTCCTTATTTCCTTTATTATCCCTTATATATGAAGTAGTGAAAAGATAATTGTACTGTTAATTATAATGTTTTGCCTACCATGGCTTTATAAATTTTGTGATACACAGGATTAGTACTTATTTTTTGAATTACTGTATAACCTCCATCAGGCAGGGTTGGTGGAGGTTAGTCAGTCTTACTTTGAGCTTTAGAGTTTATTCCAAGGATTCCCCCTTAAAGAGGAAATTCCCCTTTACCACAACCTTGTTGTGGGGAGGGGGGGGGGAGAAGGGGGCCTTGCTTCTGCCCCCCCTTTCGAACCCGCTCTCTGGGCATTGTTCATGCAAAATAGAACGTGTGTACGGCTACGTTTGGGTTGATGGCCAACCTGTTAGAAGGGAGAAAGAGGTTTGCACTGGTGTAGGAGAATGCACAATGCAGGAGGATTTCCCTGTTTAAAAGGGGAAGGGGGAGGCACTGCTTGGGACGACACTAACATGCCTATGCTGGCCAGCATTCGGCCTCCATTGCTGCCCCAGTAGGCAGCAAGGGAGGCCAGATCTCCAGATCTCTGGAGATGATGTGCCTACTTCTTCTCACATGATCTCTGGAGAAATCAGATAATGACTGCGCCAAGCACCCCCATGCTACAGACTATACCACAAAGCCTCCAAGAATTCCGCCCCAATCACCCCTCGATAAACGAATATACAATTCTGCCTGCAACCCATCAGACCCGGTGGCCTTCCCAGATGCTAAACTCCGAATAACCTCCCAAATCTCCTGATTTGGAAACTTGCAAAGCAAGGGCATTATCCTCATCTGACAAAACACTCTAGAAAAGATCATGAAAATGCTCATGTTCAGCTAAATCACATCCCTAAATCATGTTCATCACGAATCACACCAATACAAATCTTTCACTTTGCCCTGAATATAACACCAATCCATCTGTATTTGAGATAACTTTACCATAAACCCTTTGAATACCCGTCGTCAGGACAGAACACCGAGCAGATTTCTCTTTACTCAATAAGTATGCAGACACTCGCCATACAAGTGATCTGCTGTCATAAGGCACACATTCATACCATCGGCCAACTCCTCCAATGACCCATTTATCTGTCTCTATTGCTATCTGAATTTACCAGAGAGCTACTAACACTAGAGGCCTCGATGAAGACAGAAAGCCAATGCTTTGTAATGTTACCAACTAATCCTTGCTATTCTGGTTTATTAGCTGGCTGTTATTTAATGGTTCTGATGTTCACCTTTTTATTCCGTACTGTAACCTTGGTTGTTGATCACCAAGTCGCCACAAAACTAGGACACTGTACTTATCCGTTACAAACAATTCATTAGAGACTTTTAAAAATGCTGCCACCACCTGACTTCAAAACCCACTGAATAAATAACTTGACTATGAAGCAGGAAACGGCCAATCAGCATAAGAGTTCCAAGAAGGGATATCTGTAATCAGTTAAAGGGGAGAATAGAGTTTATGTCAAGTGTGGTTCAAATAAAAACAAAAGGGAAAATATTTATATTAAATAGACTAAAGGGTACTTGCATAGCTCATAGGAAATTTACTGAATAACACAGGATCATAGATTCAACAATAAAGAAATATATGTGAAATTAGCAAATATTGACGAAACAATAGAAATCATTGACTATTTTGGGTAATAAATAATTATTAACTGAACACTCCCTAATACTGAAATATCCCTATCTTAAGCATTGGTTATTTACTGTGGTTTATTATAAACTGTACTTAATTCAACAGACGTTACCGTAATCACTCACCCCGGCCGAGATGTACTGGCTCAGGGAGTGGTCTCCACTTCCCACCAATTCTACACTGATCTTTGACCTAACCCGCCGTCAGCAAGCCGACCCAAGGCCTGTTGGTCCCTTAGTGCCACCGTTCACTACAATAGCTAATTGATATTCACTAGGCAACTTAGTGACTGAATCTATTAAAATTATGGTAATTTACATAGACCATAAACCAAGGTTACTTGAGCTATATTAAAATTATTAATTACAGTATTGAATAACACATGAATTACAACCGTCATGGAGCAATGGCAAGTGAAGAGCCGCATGACCACTACTAAGCTGGATACATCCTGTATGATGTCCAGTAGAACAAACTAGTTCCCATTCTAAATGACCTATGCCCTTTTGTCAACTTAAGGGACTTGCTCTTTATTCTCAAATGACGTTAAATTACATAGGACCTTAAGCAAGGCTGATTATTAATTATAATATCTGAATAATAACATGAAATTCTCTAAATTAATGAATTAAACTTGAAGGATTCGACAAATCTGACTAATCGCCCCAGCCTTAATCCCTTTGGAAAACCTTTCTACTGCGTTCCAGGTAGAAGTTCCCTCTGCCTACTACTAGACTGTGTCCCCTGTATAACATACAATGCACATCATACATGCCTACATCCTATACTTTATATAAAAACTGAACCAATGCATCAAAGCAAAACAAAAAATAAACTACCCCTAGCTGAACAATTTACAATCTACAGATTGTATCACAATAATCAGCATAAATCAGATACTGATCCACTCATTTGAATCCTGACTCGGGTTGACAGTTCAGCAATCTTCCCCAATGTCTGAAAAACAAAACATCCTATACCCTGACTTTGTGTAACTGAATTCAATATCCCTACCCCAATCAAAAATCTACTTAAATCATCATTGGCCATTCTTCTGCTATCACCGTGTTCCCAGCTTCAACATGTAACAAAATAAATGGTAAATTCCTTGGCGTTCTCATTGACCACAAGCTGAATTTCCAGGGACACATTCTAAATATTCTAAATATATCAAAAAAAGTTTCAAAAACTGTTGGCATTCTTTCTAAGATCAGATATTATGTACCCCGCCCTGCACTGGTGATGCTCTATTACTCCCTCATCTATCCATATCTCAACTATGGTATTTGTGCTTGGGGTTCTACTACCCAAAATCATTTACGTCCTCTAATTACTCAACACAAAGCTGCTATTAGGACAATATCCAACTCTAGCCCCAGACATCACTCGGTACGCCTACTCAAATCTCTGAATATGTTAGACATTAAGTCACTGCACATTCTCTCATGTGTATTATACATATATAAAACGCTGAACTGTAATGCCAATCCTGACCTCAAAAGCAAAAGTAACAGAACCCATGAGCACCACACCAGAAACAAATACAGTTTTGATATTCCAAGAGTACGACTTAATCAAACTAGAAATGCTCTACAAATCAAGGGACCCCCCAGAATGTGGAATGACCTTCCCAATCATGTTAAAGACTGTACCTCTCTCAACCAATTTAAGATAAAAACGAAGCACAACCTAATAAATTCCCTGTAACCTACCTTCCCCCTGTATTGTCAACCCATGTCTTTTTTTTTTTTTTTTTTAGCACCGCTGTTTGTCGACCCAATTATATTTGTGCTGCTTTTTCAGCCATGTTCCCCCCTTTCTAATTTTTAATTTTATTTGTTCTCAACACATTTTATACTTTAAACTCAATTAGTATTAAGTTTTAGTCTTTAATGTTTTTCCTGCCCGAAACGCTTTGCGTAATAGTGGCTTTAGGCATTGTATGTACCAGCTCTATCTATAAACCTAGCAATTTTTGTAAAAATCTCTTTATGTATGTACCTTATCTGAATAAACATTTATTTATTTTATTTTATTTATGTATTCGATCTCGAACCCATTTATGATGTGATGACTTATACTGAATTTTGTAACGAGCTCATCAAGATTCTAACTTGCTTAGCTAAATGAATTGTGGGGTTCAGTCCCTGAGCCCATTATGTGCCTATGTAACTCTCTCCACTACCGCCCACAAGATGGGTATGGGGTACACTACCACCCACAAGATGGGCATGGGGTGCATAATAAATGAACTAAACTAACATGTACACATGTCAAGTCCAATACCGGCTGAAGTCTCACTACTTCATAGTTGACCAACATACCCACAAGATGAGTATGGGGTCCACTACTGCCCACAGGATGGGTACGGGGGTCCACTACCACTCACAGGATGGGTATGGAGTCCAATACCGCCCACAGGATGGGTATGGGGACCACTACCGCCCACAGGATGGGTATGGGGTCCACTACCGCCCACAGAATGGGAATGGGATCTATTACCGCCCACAGGATGAGTATGGGGGTCCAATGTCGCCCAAAGGATGGGTATGGGGTCCAGTAAAGCCCACAGGATGGGTATGGGGTCGCCTAACGCCCACAGGATGGGTATGGGGTCGCCTAACGCCCACAGGATGGGTATGGGGGTCCACTAACGCCCACAGGATGGGTATGGGGTCGCCTAACGCCCACAGGATGGGTACGGGGTTCACTAATACCCACAGGATGAGTATGAGATCCACTACCGCCCACAGGATGGGTATGGGGTCGACTAATACCAACAGGATGGGTATGGGGTCCACTACCGCCCACAGGATGGGTATGGGGTCCACTAACGCCCACAGGATAGGTATGGGGTCCACTAACACCCACAGGATAGGTATGGGGTCGACTAACTCCCACAGGATGGGTATGGGGTCCACTAACGCCCACAGAATGGGTATGGGGTCCACTAACGCCCACATGATGAGTACGGGGTCCACTATCACCCACGGGATGGGTATGGCGTCGACTAACGCCCACAGGATGGGTATGGGGTCGACTAATACCAACAGGATGGGTATGGGGTCCACTACCGCCCACAGGATGGGTATGGGGTTCACTAACACCCACAGGATGGGTATGGGGTCCACTACCACCCACATGATAGGTATGGGGTCCACTAAAGCCCAAAGGATAAGTATGGGGTCCACTACCGCCCACAGGATGGAAATGGGGTCCACTACCGCTTACAGGATGGGTATGGGGTCCACTACCGCCCACAGGATGGGTATGGGGTTCACTAACACCCACAGGATGGGTATGGGGTCCACTACCACCCACAGGATGGGTATGGGGTTCACT